TTAGTGAAAATGATGTTTAGTCACAATGTGGGTTAGGAAAATTCATAAATTAGTTAAAGTTTGTAAGACGCGCTTAACAAGTGGCACTGAACAGAAGATAGTAAGCTACTTGGTGGATGATGAGCATCAGTGTAATCCAGGATATGCGCTTCAATTTATCTGGGACTCGTCACCTGGAGGTAATTCCCACCAGATGATGGTGTTCCCACGGGGACTACAGTAAACAGTACATCGTCAAATAAACAATAGGTAAAATGAATGTAGTTGAGTCATACCATGAGAAAAGAGATAATATCACTATTAATAAATCTAAATAACTCTTTAGCATCTATATGTATAGGAAATTCGATAGCAGTATCTGACGGGCAGTGGCGAACTTCAAAAGAACAGTAGCTACAGTAAATTTAGTTGATTAACAGACTATTTACATGAACAATTAGTATCTTGGCTCAGTTATTCAAAGATACAATAGGCTGGAAGTGAATTGTTGTTATTTTCCTGCACATATAAAAACTGTTTTTATTTTTAATCAGGTTAATTAAACTATGATGTCATACAATTTATCATTTATCAAGTTTCCACTTGACTCAATATTCACTTTATAAAAAAATATATTCATTATAAATGTCTAAATAAAGATTTATCTTCACTAATCATTCGAGTTTATAAAAATGGTTGTCAGTAATTTCTGAATACCGAAATTTTGCTTCCACGTGACCATTTAATGAAATATGTATGTGACAAGCTGCAACTGTTGGCTAGTGCAATTTAGTCGAGTTTTTTTACATTTGTTCTGACAGAACATATCAACTTATAATTACTCTATTGCTGGAATGATTACTTCACTTGATTTAACGAGTATAAGTTTTAAAAAGATGTGAAAGATAGAAAATATCAAGTGATAATCAGGCGTTTTGTTTATGAGTATATAACTTTATGATATTCTGTAACTTTTTTAGTGCTTTTACTAACTGTATAAAACATATAATCGGCATTTATACATATGATAAAATTGTTGAACTAATTGTATGGTCCATAATAACAATAATAATAGCTGCTCAGCCTTTAGCTAAAGGAGCCGTAATCCACATACTACTATCAAATAAACTGAAGAATTGAACTGAACATAAGAACTAGTCATAAAATCGTAATTTGCGTAAATCTTCAGCCTAAAATATTGATCGAAGTCTATCAGTTATCATGTTAAGTAACAAAACAATTGATGCTCTCTGTCATTAGTTCTTTTTTCTTCTTTTTTCTATTCCTTTACGTTCCCAGTGGAACATGGGGCTTCAAGCTAGAGGCTTGAAGTTTCGGTAGCAGTGGTATTTATTTTTACGGAATGAGGTAGCTAGCTTCATGCCCAACCCCCCCTGTCTACCGGTCTTATTACTTGCTTAGCGAGGTAAAGGAATGCATTGGTCGGTATCGAATCCCGGACCACATGCGTGGTTGGTGAACATTCTACCGCTGTGCCACCGACTCACGTCATTAGTTCTAGGTTGAAAGAAAATAGGTTTCAGTAGATAGACAGCTTTTCTTTAATCAGTTAACTTACCTGTAAATACTTATAATTTTCTTTTAAAAAAAATAGAGTGGTAAATTTACGAGATGTAACATAATCATTTCATTGGGTACTGGACTAATAACTTAGTCATAGACCTATGGAGGGTATTAACTCACTTTTCAAAAGCCAAGAAGTGTACTTATGTATCCATGGTTCGTGACATCGAATAAGTTTATATAGTATAGACTATATGATAAGTGACATGGTGATATTTGCTTTTATCCACTATCCCAATTCACTTGGCAGAAAATAAAGATCCATATAACTCCTGACTAACGGATCAGCTGACAGTTCTGAGGTATAATAAAACAACTTTATATTCATTTAAAAGTAGTCTGTAATCTGTCTATTGCCTAGAGACAATTATATTTTACCATTTCTTTAGTAGACAAATTAGTGTGATTACTAAAGGAATTCATTGTAGATTTGGCCACAAACCACCATCAGTTAGAATATTAGTAACCGGAAAGTCCTGAGTTCGAATCCCAGTGAGTGCGTACTGCCGATGATTCGAAAACTAGGATGAAGCATCTGTCCAGCACCCCCTGGTGTTCAACGGTTCTCTAACTGGTATCAGTCGTGGTCAAACACGTTAAAACAAATCTAATCCTTACAAACTAAATCTTGAAAATTAGTGAAAACTAGAGAGCACTGAAGAACCGTTTTGTCCTTGCTTTGGACTTTCATCAGTGAGTGCTCGTGACTTCATGAGGGACAAGAATATGGATAATTCAGTCACTGGGTTGGGATGCAGTGACTTGTGAATAATAACTCCTGTCAGTTTGCCATATAGCTCTGCTTTTACAATTCAGACGTCACTGAATTCTAAATTCCTGGCTCAACCTTTAGCTGACTGACTCCACAACATAAAGTCTTAGATGAGATCCCTAATGCGGTCAGCAATGGGCACTGATGAATAGTCTCAAACTAGAACGAAACAGCTGTCTATTGCTCCCTGGTTCTAAGTGATTCTCTGAATGGTTCTGGTTCGTGATCAAATCCACATCGAATTTAATCCAATTTTCTACAAAAACCATAATTCGAAATAAGTAGTCATATTTTTAAAGAGGCACACTCATTAGATATTATCTACTTACTGACTTGCCGTCTTGAAACTCATAAGAAATAATTAAAGTATCCTGGAGAGATAATACGCTGAAAAAAGCCGATTAAATAAGGTCGAAATGAAGGTCAAGATAAATTTCACACATCCTTTAAGGAGTGCAGAGATCAAAATGTATGGATCGATTTAGTCTCAGTCAATGATCAGCCATAGATAAAACGTTGCGGTACGGCTGAAGGTACGTAAGTATATTTATCTGACGTCCAATAGTAGTATTTAATATGCAATGAAACCAGGAATGATGATTGCTTAATAATGAGCACATAGGAATACCATAATCCTCACTGGAAATACAATAAAGAATACCTTTACTATCAAAATCGTTAGTTTCATTTGCCGTAAGTTTGTGTAAATCCTTTAAAAGTTGGATATAGTTTTGTTTGTCCAATAAATACTATTCAGATTTGGCTCAGTATCTGAGGGAATATCAGTTTCAGGCTGGCTAGAAAATGGACAGAAGGGATAAAAGTGTTGTAAAGTGAAAACAAGTAGTCTCTGTACATCTCTTAAACACAAAATTTTAACTGAAATTAACCAACATGTTGCTATTCTGTTCAAATTCATTGGAACAGATGTGTTTAAATACTAGTTCTTTCATAATTCTGTCTTTCGGATGACTTAGCAACATGTAGTTTACAGTCAGGAGGTTTATCCATCTGCAATATTTGATGATGTGTGGGGCTACATGGAAAAACGTTTTGTAAGACACTTAAAAAGACGTCTGGAATTTTCCATCAAAACATTAGTTTCCGTCATTTTTAATACTACATATTTAATAGATACACAATATAAATCAAAAAGTCTATTCTTTTAGCCTAAATAAATTTTAATATATTTCAGCGATTTTACGATTTTCTTCATTTATTTTACAATAGAAAGGATTATTTGAATGAAATGGTTGAAAAAATTTATAATGAGTTAAAAGTAACCACTAAATAAAGGAACTTTGACATCAATTTATTTACATCAGACAGTAATTCCCTTAAGTGGCTGATTTGTGAACTATTATTATTATTCCTGTGTTCCTATAAGGATATAGGGCTTCAACGGCACTTCTGCATTTCATCCTTTTCTCTGAGGTCTTTTTCAGCTGGCTCCATGGTCGCCATGGGCTTTCATCTTCTGCTCACTCGATCTCCTCCATGTCTTACACGGAGGCCAAACCCCTCATTCCTCATTTGGAATCCAAATGAGGACCTGGCGCGTGATGTCAGTTAATGGTGTCTTCAGTGTGTGTCCAAACCATTTCCATTTCTTTTGACATTTTTTTGAACGACGGGTTGTTGGTTGATATGTTGCCAGAGTTCCTGATTTCTGAATAAACTGAATTGATTATCCAATGAAAAGTAATTAGAGTTATTTCCATTACAATACTCGTGAACATTCAAAATCCAAGATTACCACGTATTAAGGTAGCGTTAACTACTAGAATAATTTTGAAAAAATTAGCGTCTATATGTGTGGTTAAGTAAATGACAAACGATTTTCTTGTTCCAACATTCAACCTTATTTTGAATGTTACACATTCTCAATCATAATAAGGCATAGAAATATCATAGAAATGTGCTACCTGTTTGTTCATATTCATTTCTTCGAAAAAAATGTATTCCATTATGTTGCGCGATGTCAAACATAACGTGGAGGTCCCACGAGAAATGATTCCTGTCATTAAACTTTTAATGATCTTCACAGTAAACTTAAGATTTTTAGCTTTGATTTACTTAACTCTAAATTCCCCGAGATCATCATTCCAGACTTTGCTCTCAGGGGACCAATGTAGCGGTCCAATAAAAAGTCACATTTACATCCCAATATCTAAAGACTAAGATAAAACATTTTCCTTCATTTTTAAATATAGGACTATATAATTATTATGCTATAAAGTGACTTTACTGTTCTTTTAGCCCCCATTAAATATATATGTATATATATGCACATGTTTATTACTGATAAACACAAGAACAGGGAAATTAAGTGTAATCTAGTGTTTTCATTTCCTTTTTTGAGTCCAAGGTGTAGCATAGCACTACTGCTGAAACCCGAAAAGCTTGAAATCTTGTTGCTTTTGAAAAAAATGGAGTTATCAGCTGCATCCCAAAGCTGACGTCTTCTCCGGGTTTTTATTCAGGTAGTGAGGTTATGGAGTCCATCGAGTCCGGACCACCCTTGTGATAAGGGAACATTCTATTTTTGAATCATGGGCACCCATCACCTGGTGTACTGTACGCTATAGAAGGGAGAAATTTCACCACCATATTGAAAGCATGAGCATTTTCACAGCTTAAACTAAAACCTCTTATCAGTTTTTGTGTCTGATCCAAGTAATCTGTCTTGTTTTGTTCAATAGTTCTAGTAAAAAGTTTTATTTCAATATTTAACAATAAATGAATATTAAATTAGTAGCATGAATCTTCAAATAATAAAATGAATATTAAATTATCCGCTTTAGAACTAGAAATAAAATTGCAATTTAAACAATTGACAAATAACCAATTTACGAGAGAAAAATAATAAGAAATACACACCTTTATCAAACAACTATAAAAGTAAAATAATTATACGGTCTTTGCTAGTCTTTGTTATTGAGAAAAGTAGAAAGGAAATGTATAAGTATTAAACTAGGCCCAAACTTATCAAAAAACAAGTAAAAGTAACATTGTTTCAAAGGAACGCAAAGCATACATCTTAGTGTTAGACGCTTATCTTCTACGAAAGATATCACTTTCTCGCTATTTCTTGTAGGATGTTGAACAGACAGTCATTTCAAGTGTTGTAGCTTTTTTGAAATAAAATAAATGAAAAACCCATGCATAACAACTGATCTCAAATTCAATAAAGATAGGGAAATGGATCGAGATTACGTCTACACAGCAGCGTTAATTAGATCAATAAAAAATAAACCAGTACATGTACACACGTATAAGCTTATACACACTAAGCAAACCCAATTATATTTAAAAATGATAATATGTTTATAATATGCTGTATAAGAAATCTTCACTTGAACCGATAATAACTATTCATAATCTAAATATTAACTGAATGTCAACTGATGATAACAGTGATAACAATTAGTAATAGTGGAGGAATGCAGCTATTCCCACTGATACCATGAATGAATAAACAACAATTATGTTAAGTGTTCTTTTTAATTCATTTTTTTTCAACCTTCTGTAGAGAATAAATGGTTTGTAACTTGGAAGTTGAATAGTATTAGTCATGGGTAAAAAACGAAAAGAGAAAGAACGGATCAAAAGTTCATTTGGCTTTCTGACAACAGTAGACAGTAGATCTAGGTCTCAGTAATTAGAATACTTCATCGAAATCTCTATCGAATTGTGCGTCTAAAAGCATGAAATCGCCATTGACTTGAATTAGTGATAATTTGCTTTCCAGACAGTAGGATTGTTCGAAACTGTAGACACACATTTCAGTAGTATTCAGGAATACCTAAATTACAAACAATGAAAACAAAAGTAGTAATTATTGTCCAAATGAATATTTGATACAGAGATAGGTAGGTATTCAAAGCAGGTGTTTAGTAATTACTTAAAAGCTTCCATTAACATTTGCCATACAAATGAATAGTTATGGTAATGACTTTTATTCCTAGGAGCTTCCAAGCTTTGAAATTTTGTCATTGTTGTTTAGGCAACTAGCAAACTTAAAACTTATCATTTATTTCTTTATCAATGTCTATAAATATCCATTAAAAATACGATTAGAAAAAAGTGATTGAGATTGAGACTTATCGGCAGAATGTCAAAATTAGGCTTTTTTAAACAATGAACACATAGTGAATTGCAAGTGACAATCAATTGGGATAATGATTTGTATTTAAATGACAATCAAAGACATTTTGATTGTGGTTAGACTGTTTGTTAATGAGACTTACAATTCACTGTGAATGTTATCTTAGTGAAGCTTGTAAACCATCAAAGTAGAATCTGATGACAATTGTACCGGATATGTAAACGGGTAATTTCTGCCTAAGTAATTTATGATGTGACTGTTTCTATCTGCGCAGTGACGTTTAGCAGATTCATAGACGGTACTGTAACACTCTAATGCGAGTTATAACCAGAAAGAATTTGACAACTCTGTACTGAATATATATGAATGACGCTTTAAAAATTTAGTATTAATTTGTAACTTATATATGAATGATTTCACCTGGTGACAGTAATCTACGCCTTTGAGGTTATTTTTCTCATAAATTGCTGTCAGTCTTTGGTGTTTTGCCTGGCAAAACTATACATGGAATTTCATTAACACACCAATAATCCTGAATTAGCAGAGGAATGTTTCAGCTCAGGTGGATCATATAGTTTTCGTCCTAGATAACATGTTCAGCCCAACCTTCCGCTGGAATTCAAAGACTGACAGAAGGTGAATATGATGAAAACAGGCTGCATTCGGCAGAAGCATTTCATCATAAGTTCATTACTTGTTGTTAATTTTTTAATTTGAACTATGCACTACTCATTTTGCTTTCGTACATTTTATAGTATTAGTTATCCCTTCATAAATTTAAAGAATATAAACTTGATTCAAAAGATTTTATCAAAAATCAAATGTACACTGACCTTTAGTTGATTGTCAAGAAGATGGATTCTGATTTTACGTATCTGTTCAGGAATATATGGAATCTCACTTTTAACTTGTTTTTTAAACACTTTCATTTCATTTGTCATATCTTGGACAAGTAAAGAGCTTTCATCGAAATCCAGTACAATTTGTATACAGTCTCTCTCAGATTTACTGAACACTTCGTAAATGTATTCAATCATAATGCTGAAAAGATCATGTAAAAAAATTGTAATTTTAATGAAGCGTAAACCAAATAAAATATAGGAGATCAATAAAAAATCAACAGCGTCTAGTTGACAGTTGAAATGTAAGTTGTCAGATGTCTGTTTAAAAAAGAAGGAAACTTCAAGCCATTTTTGAAATTTACTCCTAATAGTCAATATGCGAACTTGCTAGGTGTATATTAAATGTCAAGTAAAGATATATTGAGAGTACACTTTGCCTTATTGAGTTCAGGCTGGACTGTCAACCGTGAGAAGTTTGAAATATTATAATTCCTGTTGATTCAGTCTGACTAGTCTAATTTATAGAATTTAATGCTATCGGAGACTTCAGATATTATATTCGCCACCGATTTAGACCTTCTGACAATAAGAACCTGTAATTCCAGAGAAAATTATATGGTTCTGATTGTCTCTATTTCAGTTTTAATTCCACATTAGCATTTACTAGACGAAGACAAGAACATGAACAAGTATCTCCTGACTTTCTCAGAAGAATTATTTACCTTGTCTCTTAGTATCGTCGTATATTTTCATTCGAAACAAAAACTGACACTGGTCATAAATATAACCATTCAAACTCAACTTTTCTACTCCTCAAAATGAAGTAGGGAACTACTAAGACCCAATAACCACTCGTAAGCTGTTTCTTTCTAGAGTGGAACTTTCTAACAATGCCCAGTATCAAGACTGATGGAAACGAGCTACATATTTACTGAACTTCTAGGTCGGCACAATATCGTTAAACGACTATGACATCGTCAATTTTCACATGAATTTCAGGTTCTGATAACTGTCCACTTAATTTCTCAGTAAGATAATAACTCAATTTTCAATCTTTCCCACTACAATGGCAATACAAGGAACCGTTTACAAGTTCGTTGAAATATTCAAGAAACTTTGACACAGTTTCAATTATGGATATCCATTCATAGTATTAATGCGGCTTTACGTTACAACGCAAATATAGCTTCCAGTGGTTTCCTTTTTTCTACACGCTGATTTTTAAATAAAAATAATCAGGAAGAACAGTGAGAGTTCCCTCGGTATTGTTAAAACACAGTCATTCTGTGTTGGGAAGATTTTCGAAACATAGTTTGAGTTTTACTCATTTTTCTAGCAGTCTATAGGATGAATAGTGAGCTGTGTTTACTTACACAAGAGTATCGTTTGAGTATTTTTACTGATCAATAAAAGTGATACGTACACATGTTAGGTAACAGCTTGAAACGCAAACATTTATCCAGATTTTAAGTAGAATCTATTAACTGATCGATAAATCACTGAGTGATTTAAAAAAACAATACATGGAAGAGTGCACTTCGCTAGACTCGTACGACTTTTATCACTGAACTATTCATTCCATTTTCATTCTTTAATTTCTAAATGAAAATGATGATTCAATTTTTCTGTTTCATCTTTTTTTTACACCTACAGAAAAAAATCTGAAAGTATATTTCTGAGCACACGGAATGTGATTAAACAAAGAATGTTTTTGAAAATTTGTATATTTATCTTATAATGTATGATCGACGTAATATAAAACTTCGGTGTATATTGGAAATTGTGTTTGTCTGTTTGTGTGCTTGTGAGAGAAACGGAGAGAAAGTGAGTAGGAGCGTATGTGGATTAATGAATGCCAACGGTCAGATGTGCACATATTGTAATTTACAAAACAAGAAAAAAACAAAATAAAAATCAACGCTAAACAACCTGAATACTGTTAAGTGAAATTAAACACGGATGAACACAAAACTATTTACTCCTACATATTGTAAAAGTTACCACTTTTGCCAAATACGAAGATTTATACAGAACTTTATTTTCAGGAAAGAAACACATAAAGCAAATCAATGCATTATGAAAATGTGAGTAAACAATTGACTGTACAGTTACTCAGTTTTCTGATGTTATTGATTAGAATCTGTTCCATTGAGCAATGTTGCTACTACTAAACATAACTAATGATAATAGTTTTATTTAAAAAGCCGATTCATTATAGAGATATAAGGATGTGTAACTCTCTTCTCGATTACATAATGTCATACTTTGCTTACTGTGAGTTGTAGACCAATAGATGTAAATGTAAATCGTAGTAGGATGTTCAATATTTCAAGTGAATTTTCAAAGTTGAATATCTTTCATCAGTTGGAGTATTCAACTCTTTGAATATATTTCAGTCATATTTAAGGCAGATATCAAGAATGAAAAGAAGGCTGTCTCCACAAACTTCCAGTCAATGACATGTCGTATCACTGAATTAAAAACTTGACCATGCAACTGCATGGTATAGAGATGAATGGTATTAGAGAAACATTGATTTCTTTTTACAAGGGTGAGGTATTAGCATCCACCTTCCATTTTTTTTCATTGTGTATATAAATGTCTGACAGAAATTTAGTCAGTGCAACAACAGTAAGGACACTCATGAAAAAAATTAGCAATAATATATTAACTCATACTATTTCGACTGTTAAGCAAAGATGAATTTAACTTTTGTTATGTTAACACAATATGTCGTGGAGAATTAAGTCAATTTCTGTACAATAATTATCTCAAGATAAATCAAGCCATAGGGATGAATTCATCAATGAAGTCAGGGTATCTATCCAACTCACTGGATAATCACAAAGCAAAATAATTCACCTAGTATGCGTTGATTCCTGCTTAACATTTATCTAAGGGTAGTCCAGTGCTTTGGATAACTTTTTTCAGTACTAATTTTAGTAGAACAAAACACAGAATTTCCAATTTTATTATGGAATCTTCACAATGAATATTGTTTATCTATTGGCTTAAAGGATCATGGCAATCTTATGTATTGGTTGTCTCACAGATTACATTATTATTGTCGGATGTTCAAAATCAGTGGTTTACAAGTCCAAAGTAATTTGAAATTTGTAATGATTCCTCAGTTTTACTTTTGCTTAACACCTAAGAACTGCTAGCAGTGCTTCCATGATAGATTGTTCAAGCCTCCTTGTTAAGATGTCTAGTGAATTATCTTATCATATTCTGTGAATATCCGCTTCCTCAGAAAACATTTACAATGCAGCATTTGCAGTGTATTAACCATATGCTCTAAAAGGTTTCCGAAAATAATAGCCGTAACTGCTGAGTTTTAGTAGATCACTCTCCAAAAATCTCTATCATTATTTCACAAATTATGATTGCAAATATCACTTCACTTACCGTTTAGTATCAGCTGTAAGTTTTGTCAAAAGACATAAATTATGCGACTGATTCAGTTCAACTGTTGGATGAATAATTAACGGTAACGACTATAGTAGAAAAAGAGAAAAACAAAATGTAAGGCACACTAAGCATGATGATTATTTAAGTGAAAGCGGAAAATGAAAAGACAGCAATATGGAATTCGGATGTGGATAAAGTGACGAACATTTTTGGTTTCTGCGTTTAGTGTCTTACTTTCCTATGGACTATTAACAGTTTCTATCACCTGAGATAGTTTCGGCTGAGATAATAACATGCAGTGAAGAATGAATCCCAGCTGGATGACTAGTTCACCAAAGTTCTAGAGAAAGTGGCCTATGAAATACTAGCAAAGGACTTGAATGAGTGAGCAATAAGATGGTGATTATCGTTCCCATATCATGCCAATTATGTATGTTTTCATCACATTCCTTATCTGATTCCTACTTAAAATGCTGTATATTCTGGTGAATATTGAATATTTTCTGTCTCTATAACAAGATAGAAACGTTCGATTATTTTTGTTCCGGCTACTAAGCTTTATTTAGTAATCAAAAAGAATCTAAGTTTCTAAGTTTATTGGAAATTTCTTCAAAAGGTTAGCTATCATTCAGTAACAAACTGCTAACTATAATGCATTAAATGTTACTTTTAATCCATTGCGTTCCAAGTGGAACATAGAGTTTCAGGCTTTTAAATTTCAGTGGTGGTCATAGTGTTATTTTTACACCTAGAGTGACTAGCTTGACGCCCACTCTCCTTTTCTTTCAACGCTTATTACTGACGGGTAAAAAAGGCGTGCGTCGGCTGGCAGTCGGTCCGGACCTCCCACGTGGCTGATAAGCATTCTACATTTGAACCACTGACTCAAAATGAAGTAGTATATCTTTCTTTTTCCAGAAAGAGATTTTGCCGAAGTCCCTAAGTATACATCATCATATTAGTCTTGCATATATTCTCTGCCGAAATAAATTACTCTAGAGCAAAGTTACTGCAATAAACAGTAGGCGTATTATGCAATATTATTTGTTTACTTGTATCATGTATCCATGCCAATAAATACACAGCGAAGCATGCAAAAATGTGTATGAGCAACTGGTGGAATAGAGAATCAAGAATAGTTATAAAAGCGTGGCATTTATTTTTCATTTTTTCACTTTTATGCGTGACAGCAGTCAATTATTTATATTGACATGAATACCACACTTATAACCATTCCCCCAATTTCAGTACGTAAATGATCGATTTCAGTATTTTTGCTCTCACTTAATATTAATACTAATTGAATTGAAACAGCCTACTATGCAAGAAAAACACTTATTACCATCAGTCTGTCAGCCTCTTACATATTTGCGTGGGAAATGGAGTGTGTGGGTGCGTGTGTGAGTACCGTGACAGAGTACAGTCTCTCCAACGCAATCCTATGACTCATGATGAGTTAAATAATATCAATACTTTTCTTTTAAATATCTGTAGGTAAAGAGTAAATTTACACAAAATAAACATATTAGAGCTTGATTTGTTGTCCCCTACTATCACATTGTAATTTAAACATCAAGAATGTTAGTTTGTAAGTAGACGTAAACGTTCCGTAAAAAAGGCACAGAAGATACCACCCATTCAATGAAAAAAAATTTAGCAACAAATCAATGTTAATGGAAATTACACTAAAACATTTTTATCATAGAGATGTTCCTTTTCGTATAGGTAATTCTATTAGTGTATAAAAAGTTTTCAATGAGGACATTGTGCAAAAGGATAATAGATTCAGGTAAATAGTGAGTACCTTAACACTTCGTTTTATGAATACATTTTGTTGAACTGACAAATTTTGTGGTTAATTTATGCATTCATATTAGAGTTCAATATATAAAAAAACACCGAATTACAAAATTTATTTACTCAATCTACATAAAAAACACTTAACATTTTCTTTATGTAAATACAATTTCGGTGACCTTGGAAAGGATAAGATGACATTTTAAATAACTTGAAAGACCAAAGAGGCCAGAAACAACCTATATTATACTGAAATCTAGATTCGGACACTGCACAGCTGGTCTGCCATGTTATCAAATTCTTTCAATACATTTACCGGGAATGGAACCTGATTTATCATTTGACTATCTGTAGTTCATTTTATTGCTTGCAACTGTAATAAAAGTTTAGAAACCCATTGACTCCATATTTCCGTTGTTCTGCACGATAATCACTGCTATCAAAACTTTTGGACTTTTAACAAAGTAATACCTTCCTTCAGATCTTATTGCAGATAAGTTCAGCGCTAATTACGAAGTTAAAGGTTTGCGTCAAAGAGGAAAAGAGTAGATAATATCATTATGACGTGACCACCACATATATATTATCTTATATGAAACGCAAATTTATGCCTGCCACTTAACTTATAACTATATTATGTTCAAACGATACATAGTGTAGGATGTTAGTGAAACAGAATCAAAGCATAGAGACAAATGAAAATGTTCCATAAAGATACATTCTCTTAGAGCAAGTCAAGCATCATTTTGTATAAGGAAGTTGCTTTGCTTATAATATCGCTACAATATATAAGCAACGTTAAAGAATGCACCTCAAATGGAACCAGTGCACCGATGACTTTGAAATGCTCAGTCATCTCAAGCAAGTGAAACCACGTAAATAAATCTAAATTTATAAAAACATAGTGTTGAAAGAAATGAAGGATTATTAGACAGGATATCAGGTTAGTTTAAGGTCAAGTTAGAGAAAGTAAAGGGTCAGGTTAAAGTTAGATTAGGGATAGATTAAGGTTGTGTTAAGGACCCAGATTCGCCTTTTGAATGCATTTGATAATTTCAAGTTCACTGTTGCTACCCTTTAGGTAAGTATTTATTTCTTGACTTTGCTCGAAAATACTTCTATTGTAGCATTCACAGAAGTGCAGTCTTCTTTGTTGCGTCACCTTCAATATTTATTACATCGTGGTATTGGAAAATTGCGTTACAGGCATATATTGGCTTTGCTGACGCTCATATAAGATATTTTTTGGTGTACAATATACGCATTGCTACTGACTCAACTATATATTATTGCATCAACGTAGTAGTCAATATCACCTACTATGGTAAAAAACAATTCTTTTTGTTCCTTTGATATTTAAGTGGGGTGAAATTAAGACAGTTTCAAGAATAAAAGTGTCCGCTGGACGACAACTTATTCACAGTGTACAAAATACTTTGGCTGGTCACCAATCAAAAAGAAATTCATTTCTTTAAACGACATGAGTTTTCACCAAAAAATGCAAATACCAAGTACTTTAAGCTATTCCGAGATACATTAATAAAAGTGCAATGTCATTACAAGCACAGAATAGGGAATGATTCTTAGCAAATATCGAGAAGAGACATATTTGATGAAATGAATGTAGCAATAATTTTAAAATTAAACTTGGGATGCTTTTTAAACTCGTTAGTAATCGTTCATTATTCAGTATGCAACTTGATAATTCTAAAAGTAGCATGTCCATGCAACTGTGCACAGAAACCGAAGTCTGTATTTTCTAATTGTATAGTTATTTAAAGCGGTAAAATAGTCAAGCCCCGAACAATGCTTACTTTCCAAAGTCATATCAAGTGTCATTCTTCATGATTATATGTTATGAAACAGAAAAATATTTTTCAATAGAAATAGTCGTGGAACCATTCTTGATTGATACAATGTCAATCTTTCCCTCCACCTAACTGTATTAAATTTAGGACTGTGAATCTTTCCCCTACTATCCACAAAATATGTAACACAGCAAACAGTATCACGTAACCAAAACATAAAGGTGAGACGAAATGACATTCCTTAAATCTATTCTAGATTGTGTTTTACACACATATTAAACAATATGGAATCCATAGCTACGTTTTTCCATCCTTAGTTAGAGGAATATTTAGCAGAATGGGGTGGGAGATATAAGTCAGCATAAGTTCCATTAAAATATATTTGGAAAACAATGTTACCGCTGTGTTACTTCACACCTCATTTTGTGTTTAAAAAACACTACCCAATGCTCCCTTTGTTTTGCTTTCTTTTTTATTTATTCCATAGTTACATAAATTCAACTTCATTTTCCTCTGACTTCTTCCCTTTATTAGATAAGTATAGTATCTTTAATTCTGTTAAGCTTTTGTTAATAATAATCATTGTATATACATCTGTAAATAAAATGTGATTTACCGGCATGTAGTTTCTTGGCTTAATCCTAATGATGTGAATACTTAATTCTAGAATAGTGAGATCTGAGCACAAATTATAGTATCATCCAGTATTTCATACCTATTGAACAAATTAATAATTTCACTAAATCAAAGCCTAAAAAGCATTTGTCTTTAGTGCAGGACTGTTGTACATTTTTACAACATTCTTTACTTTACTTTCAAAGACTTGGTTCATTCATATAACTGCATTGGTTTCGTGAGTTCACATTTCCTGAGTTATAGGTTCCTGAATGCTAAATCAATTAAAGTATTGCGTTATTCTCTGTGTTTCAATGAAACAAATGTTTGTTCAATCAGCATTCACTGTATTATGTGACCTCCAGATGCTCAGGTTTGTCATGGTAACAACTTTCATATGAGGCATAATACTTCATTGATTTTTAGTAATAAAATCAAGTTCGTTTATACTGACTGTTGGATAATTCAGACTCTTACACGCAAATTTAAAACTATTGTGGCAGATAAATATGGTATTAAAATTTGATTGACAATCAGAATGATTTCTATTGCACAAAGTCGTGTTCTTACTATTTTAAGAAAAGAATCCCTAACTCCAGGCATTCTCATTCAGCATGCAGATGAATTCTTTGGAAAGTGACATTTAGCCAGACCTATAAATCTAGCCTTTCTCTGTATTACTATCAGGGAATATTTGTATTTCAGTTTGGAGTAGTACCTGAGGACTAACTAAAATGATATTTTGAAAGAAGTAATAAGTGTCATATAGGCAGAGAATGAAGGAAGTGCTAAAATCTTCAAAATCGCAGACATCTCAGTACACAATAAATGTGTCTAACTTTTTTTCAACTCAACACAATAACTAGGTAAAGGAAATTTTCAACCATACAGCAAAATGGTCTTGATGAATTTACATCACATCTGCTTTTGTGATACCAGTGATTAGATAAAAAAGAAACTAAATCTCATCTAACTTATCACTGTTACGCACTATAACAGTATCTAATATTAGAAAATAATGAATTTAAATGAAACCACTTCCTTTAGAAAGGAGAAATTCAGTGAAATATCGATAATGATAACTTGTTTAGGTTAAGATTCCACACTGTGCATCTGAGTACATTTTATGCAATTTACTACTTATGTCAGCTGCAATACTCCTGAGAATTTTTTAAGCGTAAAGTCAAACAGAAGTATTTCTGGCTATGAATGAGTGTCTAGGTAGTAAATGATCGATGTGTCCAGTTTTAAGTCCATCTGTGAATAGTGAAATAGAGCTGCCAGTCACGTATGCATCATGATCAATAAGCTGAATAAAACAAAACTCTTTTGAAGACATGACCAGTAGATACTGAACTTAGAACTAGACAACTAAACATTTTACCATTTGATAACTAATTTGAATCTTTTCGATAATTCCACATTGCATCAACTGTGACTAGGATTTCTTGACAGAGTTGGACAGTGAATAAGGTGGGATGAAATTTCGAAATGGAAAAAAGTTTGATCAAAGATTTAGATACGTTTTCGTGGCAAGAAACAACAAACTTGATGCTTGTTGGTTTCCAATAGCAACTAACGCTGAAACACGATTGATTATTAATATAGTGAATAATATTTGAAAAAAAGTTGAATTAAATTCACTTTATTTAATTTTATTTTTTAAAATACTTACCACATGTTTTGACATAACGAATCTATCCAGTTCAGCTGTTGTAGAATCTTCTAGTTCAAATGATTTCAGACAATAATTGAATAGATTAGTTACAGTATTTTTGACCAGCAGAGTGAAGAGTTCACTTGAAGTTATCTAATCAGTGTATTAATAATAATAATAATTAGTGAGTTGAGAATTCTGATAATATATACATAAATTCAACTTTGTGAAAGGTGTACAACTTTGACTACAAGTAAATTATCTTTGTATTTCTTAAAAAGCAAAGCAGGAGTGAAGACAACCCATACAGTGATCACCCTGCTATGAAAAAAGAAACTATAAGACGCAACTAAACTTTAAGAACTCATGTGTGAACATGGCGATGGAAATGTTCGTTAAGTAACCGGACAACGACTCCACTTCAGTTCATTGTTTTGATAGTGACAGATCCAGAACTTTCAGTCTGATTTATTACCGTTTCCCGTATTCAGTGTCGGGGCTTCAGTAGCGCATTTTGATTCTCTTCACTTATGTTTCATGTTCACAAGCTTTCATTTCCTCTTTACATGATCTCCTCCATGTCGTTTGCTTTGCTTCGAATTTGGATTCTACTCGACAGTCAGCCTGACTTGCGATATCACTCTAGAGCCTCCTCAGTGTAAAAACAGTCCATCTCCATTTCCTTCTGCATGTTTCTTGGGTAATAGATTAATTGTTGGCTCATTGGAAACGTTTCTCGTGACTGACCAACTGATCTCCAGTATCACTGAGGAAAGGCAGCTGTTGACGTACGTCGGAGGTGGAGAATAAGTTTGTTTACTTTTGGACTGCCCGATCAATAACAATGAGGTTACTTTTTCACTGCGTGAGGTTACTAGTAGCTCGCCAAAACTTCTCTCTTTTCTGGACTGAGGACGGGCCAGTAAACTAGGCGGGGTTATTCTGAAATTAAGTGTGTTATATATTTAACCCTTTTGTCAACCCAAACAGTATTATTTTCTAGTTGTTACGATGGGTTGTGATGAGTAAGATAAAGGTAATTGTGAGAAATGTTTTATCAATTCAACTGAAACGTGAATGTCGAAATAGCACATTATCACTATTTTAGTTATTTTCAGTTTAATCCTGTGAAAAAACTGAAATCTTTTAGCCGACTACTTTTTAACTAAACTTTTTTCCAGATAATTTAGAAACATCTGTCTTAGTCATGATCGTTCTATACTTGATTTAAATCTGTAATGAAGACGACTTTTAAATATGAACAAAAACGCTTTGTTAGTATTGTTACCTGGATATGCTGTTTTTTTCCTTCACATTCCTCAGTGAAACATAGGGCTTCAATCTAGTGGCTTGAAGTTTCTGTAGCAGTGTTTATTTTACAGGATGGGGTTGCTAGCCTCATGCCCAACCTTTCCTCTTTACCAGCATTATTTCTGGCTTAGTGAGGTAAAGGAGTGCGTCGGCCGGTGATCGAACCCCGGACCATGTGCATGGTCGGCGATCGTCCTAACCGAAGCAATTGGATATGCGGTGATCCACTTAAAAAAGACTTAACATTGAATCTCTGAAAATAATTGTCAGCTTCTTCACGTTTATCACTAATGCATCATAAATGTGGAGTTAATATTACCACAGTTTAATACATGAACCACTTAAATTATATATATATTAGTTTTGTTTATTGAATGTGTTACAGAGTGAAACAGCGTAAATCCCTAGATGACACTGTTTCACTGTGTGACATTTCCAGTAAAAAAAAACTACTGTAGGTTTACATGCTGCTAAAGTACTCAAAGTTTACACATATATAAGTAGAAGTCCTTTTGGTTGTCGTTAAGACAGCTATTTGCCACACTGACATCGTTTCAAGGAATATTTCTAAATATAGCAGTTAATAAAAATATTAAAGCAAAAATTATTTCTCAATCACTGGAAGATTTCAGTTTGGATTTTTTCTTTTAAAAACGGCTTGAATTGAAGTTCAACTAATGAACTTAATACTTTATTTAAAACATTCAATTTTAAAACAGAAAAGCAATGACAAAAACTTACAGCCAAGTAAAGACTTTGACAAATGAATTGCAACTGGAATGTTGCCAGTTGTTTATTGCTAATGTCCATTTCACTGCCATCAGTTGTTGTATGTTTTATGAAATTCGATGAACTAATTAGATTTTCTGAATTCAAACTCTGATTGCTTAACACATCTAAAGCACCATTTGACCATATTCTAAGATAAAGTGATTCATCAAACGCTTCGCCTTCTTGTGAAGTTGTGAAATTAAGTCTCAGTAAGCAGGATTGAACAACAGGTGAATCATATTTGAAATGACCATAAAGAAGTGCACTTCGTCCAAGTGTAAGTGTATGTGGTAATTCAATGTTGAAATCACAATTTATCGACTATAGGTAGGGAAAAAAGATATCAGAAATTACGGTCAAAGTTTAAGAATAATTTTTTTCAACATAAAGAAAAAAACAAATTGAACATATCATTCGTTAATAAACAAATAAGAATTTGAATAAGGCATTTAGAAAAAAAATTTCACAAGATGATAACTTTTCATAGTTCCTCTACAATGGCTTTACAACTAATATTGTTCACAATAATAAAGTAAAATGCATGACAATTACTCAGTTACATAAAACAAAAGTACATAATAATGAACAATCGTAATTAAATAGATCAAGTAGTCCATGGTAAGCGAAGGTTGAAGTCTATTGTTTTTTATACACACAGTTTTGGATAACGTGATCGAAACGGGATAAACTTGTTACGTGAATAATGAAAGTTAATACCACAGTTTTGAGCATAAAAGTAGTTCGCATATAAAAACTTCTTTTGAACTCTTAAAAGTGATGGAGTCTGCAATCCAAGTATGATCAGTCATGATTAGACCAAATTTCTTATGATCAACGTGAAAGGTAAATTATTCAAGTGGATAGCAAATTAATATTGGAAATAGCACACAGTTGCACAGCAGCGTTACAAATCATGACATACTACTGTTTGATAAAAGTGATGACTATCGGCAGATTATTATATATATATATATCAAATTGCTACAACATCATCTACAAGATAACTTGTAACAACTGCGAAAATCACTACATTGGCCCAAGTGGACGTCCCCTTCGTCTTCGTATCCACGAACATAAGCTAGCCGTCAAAAGACATGACATCCAATCCCACATATCACTACATACAGACAACCACGGGCATCGATGCGATTGGGACAATGTTCAAATATTAGACAGAAGAATTAACAAAAATGCTAGAGAATTTTTAGAAGCTTGGCATTCCAGTGAATCATCAATCAATAGACATATCGCGCTAGACAAAATTTATCAACCGATAAGAAAGAAAACTCACACACAAAGGGTCAAAGTTCAAGTCAAAGAAACAATCAGCTCCAATACAAGTAGCCTAAAAGGTGTGAAAACACACATAAACAACCAATCACGTCCAAGGTCCCCGGGAGAGATGATTAATAAACTCGCGGAGAAATCTAAAAGCTCACTTCAAATTGAAGTATGCACTGAAGATGTCACCTAGTAGGGTGATGAAAGCTTCGCAAATTAACTATCCAGATCAGAGACACAACCACATCAAAATTACTACAGCTTAACGCATTAATGAAAGTCATAGAAGCTCAAATCGTCACCTTCTTCCAGTTTTCATGTACATTGACGAAGATAACAGACTAAGAGGAGACATTTATTCAATGTTTACAAGTTTTCAGTAACTTTGAAACTGAAATCACTCTGTGAAAAATCATATTCTGAAATTAATCAGTCCTGTGATCGACTCTTTCACTGAAACTGCATGTTGTTCAAAACGTATAAATCAAGGTCCACCGTTCTATCTTGTCAAAAAAAATCTATGGCCAATGTTATTAAGTGAACCCTTTGTTCTGGACGAATGTGATAGACGGAAATCATCCACACCAGATTTCCTCGTAAAAACTACCATTTCATTTCCTACGCTTTTGAAAGATATTGAAATTATTAAATGAATGCCGTCCTAAAGTCGCTATTTATCCGACTTAAGTGTTCATTAAAAACAAAGGCATTCACTTAGTCGACATTAATTCATGCAGAGGAATTTTCTCACTAAGAACTCTAAGCTGCTTAATTTGTTTAATTTTTTTCAACTAATCTTGTTACTTAATCTTTTCTGTGAAGTTCTGTGTTGGTGCAGACATCATCTTCAGCGGTCGACAATTATACATGATCACTTTACATTTAGATGGATGTTGAGATATTAAGGCATTTATCAAACGGAATTCAGTAGTCGCGCCATTAAAAAGTGATTAAGACACGCTTCGATTTCTTACTTCTGCTTACTGTCAAAGGTGGATGCGCTTACAGTCTCGTAAAATTCCTGACGATAAATTTGATTTTTTTTCTCTTATTTTGCTAAGGTAAAGTACAAAAATCATAAACCAGTGTGGTATTTCTTATTTTGCACAGATCAATAATAAACTAAAATGCACAAAATGACGTCCACTGATTTACATAAACGTGAGAAGCGCATTATTTAAGCTGAATTTTGCAAAGTTATATTTTATGAAACTTTTAGAGTTAAATTCTTAGTTAATTAGTATTTAAGGCTATGAAGAAATACATTCTTTTTGCTCAGTGTATTCACATAAAATAGGTTTTATTCAAGGAGCAACTATCACTACCACCATTTTTTTTAAAAAGAACTAACCTGGTCAATATCTTTAAGCATATATTGATGAAGAAGTGATTGCTGTTCTACACACCCTGCTGCCATAACAGGTGATTTGTACATAGGCCTTATATTCCCGTCTACGTTTACTGCACCATATGCTGTAAGGAAAGAAAATAGATGGTTTTACTATAATTCTTACAATATAAATATAAAAGGGCTTTAAACTAAATAATTAAGTCGTTCTTTATGAAGATTACTTTGTAAGTCTACAATGAGAAAGGATTTACGAAGCTTCCATGAATTATCTAAGAATGACTGCTTTTAATAGAATTAATACATCGCGCACCGGGCTGTCGAGTGGAATCTAAATAGGAAGCGACAAGTGGGTCGTCCTAGGGTGATATAGAGGAGGTCGTGCGAAGAGGAGATGAAAGATTATGGGCAATCGTGGACCCAGCTGAAGAGAACGGCAGAAAATAGAACAAAGTGGAAATGTGTTGTTGAAGCCCTATGTTCCACTTGGAACCCATGGAAATAGTAGTGTTACAACAGTAATACATATTTCTGCCATGTGTGATAGAGATCGCAATAACCAAGCGCACTTTAAGTGCATATTTTAACTAAATTAAAATGAGTACAAATATGATTCACTTTCTAAAACTATATGATAACTGCCAATGATGGATACACTGATTAAAGGGTTGATAGACTTAGTGAGTTCAAGTTCATTTTAACCTAGTCCACTTTCTGTATAAAAAGTTATCTAAATCAACAGAAAAAATCTAATTTCTTTGTATCATTTAGATACTGACAGTTACTAAGATATAAAATTTGAAATGATGGATTTTATGTAAAAGCTCCAGTGAATACATAACCATTCTTTATTGAGAAGTGTTTATATCCAGCTTCAAAAAGAAAGTGAAATACACGTTCTTAATTTTGCTGCAAGTCAATAACAAACAGATAACGTTAATCTGAACATTCTCAAGTATTGATGTTTTGTTCAGTTAGAGAACCACCGAGAAACCTGGGAGTACTGGACAGCTGCTTCGTCCTATTTCGGGACTCTTCATCAGCATCCACCGCGGTTCGAAGTGGTCGCGTTCTTTCATGAATTGGAGAAAGTTACAATTCATGGGCCATTAGATAGGGTCCCAGCTGCTTAATGGTCTATGAGCTTGCCTCGTAACCAGAAGGTCCTGGGTTTGAACCCCATTGATGGGTGAGTACTGACGAAAAGTCGCAAACTAGGACGAAACAGATGTCCAGTACTCCTAAGTGGTTTTCCAATGGTTCTCCAACTGATGTCAGCTCATGATGAAATCCTCCAACCGAATAAATCTGGACAGTTGAAATTTCCATCTCAATAAGCACTACAAAAATGATAGCAGACAAACTACTTATCCATTGTTCAACACCTTCACTGAAGCGCTATAAGTGGTAATCATTGTGTGAAGAATGATTGCAACCAGCTAATTCATTGGAAAGTTAGATAAGTTCTACTGTTTGCATACGAAGACTTATTACAATGTATTACTGGACATCACAAACAAATTTAACACGTCTTATGAAAAAAAACATAATTCCATTTTACCCAAACAAGGGTAAAATATACGTGAAACTTACTTCGCTTACTTGACTCGTAATTATTTAGCCAAGATGAAACCTCTTCTTTACCAGCCCCTTGACGTTTTCTATATTTGGGTGTTAATTTTCGATCAGTTGGTTTCAGTGATGAAATACTGCTACTTGGTGATTCTTCACTGTCATTTCTATTTAACCCCATACTACGCCTGGCTTCTCGTTCCATTCTTGTTGAACGTTTTGACCGATAATTTTTCAGGGAACGTTTACGGTCGAAATAGTATTGACTTTTACCCACTTCTAGGTAGCATTCATTGTCTGTATACACATCACTACCTCCACTTTCTGTACCTTCAGCATCTGATACGTACTCACTTAATGAAATAGCTTTACGAGTGGTTTTTATTTTATTTTCATGAACTGTCTGACCAGATTCTTCATAATATAGTGAGCTGCGCTTTTCACTTTCACTAGTACCAGAAATGGTGTATTCTGAATAAGGTAATCTGTCTGAATAGTTATTTTGATGAATTTGGGCTGCTATTTCTGAAGCACTTCCACTTGGTTTAAATGGTTTACTGCCTATATCATTCATTGTGGGAACTGATGTATGCGGTAGGTCTGAACTTTGTGTGAGAGTAATGTCACCCATATTAGGGCTTAGATTCTTTGAGTGAATAATAGATGCTATTTCAGGAGCTGTTCCTTTAAGTTTTACATTAGCTAATGACCCTCTTGCACTGCTTTGTCCTGATTTTTTCTCTCCATCCTCCAATGTTGTCATTGACACAAACTGAGAATCTGGGCTTTCTGTGATAGTTGTTTCTCTCAAATTTGGACTCATACCTTTAGCATGAATGATAGCTGCCAACTCTGGAGCTGGTCCTTTAAGTTTCAAGTTCTTCTCAGAGGTATGGGTTTTGTCGTGTTTTGGCTTCTTGTCTACTCTATCCATTGTCGACATTGATACAAAGTTGGGATCCATACCTTCGGTTATGGTAGTTTCACCCAAATTCGGACTCATATCATTAGAGTGAATAACTGCTGCCAACTCTGGGGCTGGACTTTTCGATTTTAGATGTGAATGCAAATCAGCTCTCGGTGAGCCGTCATTTGACATTCGTGAACTACTCAAACTCTTCCTTTTAATATAATCACTGTTCAGCCTTTCGGTATGACTACCTAGGTTTTCATACTCATCATGGTGAGATGACGCTGAGGTAAACGGTCTGAAATAAACGTCTTCAGATAAACTTCTTCGACCAGTTAGAGTAGTTGTATCAAATTCAGTTGAAGGATTGGTTTTCATAAGATAAGCTGCAATTTCAGGTGCAGGCTTTTTCGATAACTCTTTTGATAATCGGTCACTAATGGAAACATTTATAGCAGGAACTGGAGAACGACTCGCAATTCGAGGATCAGATCTATTTAGACTTGTTGAAGACGATGCAGTAGGTGTTAATTCTAAAAAATATATAATCATAAAATATAAAATAAATGTACTAGATATAATTAAACTAATAATTTACAAGATTTAACAATAATTTCATGTTTAAATGCCTTTCGAAACTTTAGTTTTTTTTGTTACATATAACATGCAGGCTATTGGTCTTCAAGCTATAGGACGTATTCACAAAGTAGTCTGTGTTAATTCAAGGTTTGTTTCAATTCATTTTCCTGCGGACTACTTTATGTTAAGTTTATTTTAGTAACCATAGAAAACCTTATTATTATTATTATTAATTTAAGCCACTGCAGTCTGTATCCACAATCTTAGTTTCAGAGGATGTTTTGCTAACCCTAAAGTAGTTTGTACTGAGAGAAGTATTTTTATCTCAAGAGAAGTTGATATTTAGTCACTGGTAGTTAGCTATTCCCTTGTATTTTCCGTGCATATCATCACACAGTATCTAACGTAGTAGCAAGCAAGACCAAGTAAATATTCGACTAGTAAATTAAAACCAGTGTCAATGGATTTTAGTTATTTCTGTTAGGAATGTGAAATAGTGATGAAACCCAATTTCATATAAGTAGATTTCCAAAAGAAACTTGTTTATTGGGTGGTTTTTAAGTTAAATTTACATAATACGCTTAATTATTAATACATTTGACACCATTAACAGTAAAACGATACGTAGTGCTCATTATGAACTTGAGTGACTATGTATATTTGTAATAACTAGTATTACTGATTGTTCTGTAAACTTGTAGTCTTTGGTATTTCATATTAATTGGTGATGCATCTGATTTTATAGACATTTAAAAGTATAGAAGGTGATTTGTTGACATAAATGACTACAATTTCATTTTAAATTATGTATATGTATTTATATCAAACATAAAATATTATTACAGATATACTATAAAATAACAATATAACACAAAAGGATTTAGATTTAAATGAGGCGGCTCTGTGAATAATTTGTTTCAATGTAACGCGGTTTCGTACTCGAAAATTGTAATTTAATTCGCAGCGACTAAACAATAACTAAGCTACTCAAGTATTACGCAGTAATAGCAAATCGCATATTTCCATTTCTACGTCATTATTTAAAGTGACTATTTTCGATGTCAACCTAACATGAGTATATGTTTCGTAATAGCTAGCGGCGAATCCGAGAAGCGTTCTTCACCGCCGAAACATTCAGTTTACGTGGATTTGCCAGCTTTTCGCAAAACGCTCCTGTATAATTTGATGTTAATATTTACGGTGTTACGTCGTATTTCACGGAATTTAAAAAGCGTCTGACCGAAAAAAGTCGTCAGATAAGCAGCGCGGAGAAACACAGCAAAGCTTTGGATTCTTAAATTACACTTTGATTTATTCGTTCCGAGTCCCACTGTAGGCGTATCAACATATCGTAAGGAAATGCCTTTTAATACTGATTTAATGCCTAACGTAGCACGAAGGCCTGTTTTAAAGATTTCTACGAATTAATGTTTTACGCTTAAAAGGCATACACTAAAAAATAGTAAAATAACCTTTCGGCTTGGAACGTTTGAACGGATTTTTTAGATGTAAACCCTTTTTCTTTTTTTCGCCTTCGCCATTTTTCGACTTAATTTCTGGTGTAGATCCTTTTCTGTTCTTCGAATCCTTACGAACATCAGTCTCAGAACCTGTTGATTTCCTGCTCTTTCCCAATAATGAGAAACGTTTTTTCTTATTCTTTTCTTGTAAATTAGGAGTTGATGTTGTAGCGGTAATTCTGGACATTACTGGCTCTTCATCGTCCAGTACGGAATAACTTCCTCGAAGTAAATCACCAGCATCTGTTTGACTTCTGCCTTCACCGTTATAACGTTGTTCAATTTTACTGCTACTTAAAGTAGCAGATTTTCGAAAACCTGTAATACCAGTTTTACTTTTTATGTGCGCTGTGTCATTCGAGTTTAGATTACCTCGACTGCCCATTCCATAATCATTTATTCTCTCATTAGAAGCTTTGCCTATAGGGGGCAGTGTTGCAGATATTCTTGACTCTGAATTTTGACTAAATTCATTACTATTACGATACGAATGTATTGCAGAATTTCGTTCTAATGTAGTCGCTTTGTAGTCAGTATCTAAATCTGCTTTAGACAAATCATTTGATGTCTTCCAAGCAGTAACTTCTAGATTACTATCTTTACTTTTTATCGAGTGTTTATCCAATTTAGAGTTTGTTCTTGTTGGAACCAATATCGGCGAATCATTTCTACGTATTGAACTTTGTCTTAATTCATTGACACGTACAAATCCTGAATGAACATCATCATGTCTAATACTGCTGTTATGAGTAATATTTATAGTATTGTTCATTTCATCTTCGTCATAATATATGTCTTTAAATTCAAGTGATAATATATCGACTTTTCCTTTCATTGACAATGCGAATGCTTCACTCAATGGTATGAGATGTTTTTGATCACAAACTTTTTCTTTATTCAGTGTAACCTAAAATAAATAAAATTATAAATAAAAGATAGAATTTACTAATTTGGTTATATTTATAACTAAAATAAATTAACACAAAACTGATTTAGTATTTGAAATTGTTCACTTAATAAGAATTATTATTATCATTCTTATGGCTTTTTCCTAATTGAATGATCATTAGGTGTTATTGTGATCTTTGGGTGTCTCAATTACGTATATCTCATTTGTATGTGGTGATTAAAGGAAGCGTGCGTAAACCTCTTAGCCTAACGGGGATACTGACAAATCGATAGATAAGACCTGAGAAGCGCTGCAAAGATCATATGCGACTGACAGTTTTTGGTCAGTGAAAGTTGCAGTACATCGGTGAAAGAAATGTTCAGTATGACTTGACAAAATATACAAAACCATGAGTAAACAAAATGAATGCAATTAAAGACCAGAGAGATAACTTTTAAAGCTTATGTGCTTCTGAACAAATTGATTGAGCCTCTTTTTTGTATAATATTTTGCATTGCAGTAAACAATGATGTTTGTTGAGGTGACAGAAACTATGTGTATCCTAGACACAGTCTACGTTTGTATTTTGTAAGTGATTTTGATGTAGGAAAAAATCTATCAATAATCATGTGTCGATTCTTTCTTCATTAGAAATACATCATAATTCAGTAAAATAACACTAGAATCAGTGAACAGCAGCATAGAAATTACTGAATGGTTAACTTGATTTACCAAGAAACACGTTTAACAGAACTTACAGTGTAATATTCTTCACTAGCATGTACACACAGTTCAAAAGGCATATTTTCACGAATTCGATTCCCCACAAATTTTTCTTGTTTTGCAACTTCTACTCTATTACGACTAATTACTAAGACAGGACCCTTTGTATCTAAGATGATTTGCAATGGTAGTTCATCGTGCTTATTTCGGGTTGTTCCTTCTTTTGTTAAAAGCTCAAATATGATTCTGTAGAGAGATTGTTTTTAAAAAAGAAAAAGATGTAATTTACTCTTATAATTAGATAAACTTTTTCTTCAGATTTACAATTCAATCAGAAAAGATATTTTAGTTAAATAAAAGATTACACTACTCTGTAATCACTGCAAAATGATAATGAGATATACAATAGTTATGTTCTTCTTAATAAGGCTTATAACAAGGTAGGTAAAGAAGTATTTCGTGGGTGGCTTTTAATAATCGAAGGAATCTCAACAATCTCGATAATAAAGGAATTATAAGCGGCATGTATGTAGGCTATTGATTTAACGTGGTGTCACTATAGACATGTTATTAAAATCGGTATCCACGATTACTGTTATTTCAGTGTATTATGCAGCCGATAAACCATCTAGTTTGTGCTTACTTTCAAATAGAATTTTAAAGTCATATTCTTATGATTATTAAATGAAAAGTGAATTCAGTGTGAATATTTTACCAGCTATTTAGGGGTAGATATGTAAGAAAACGTGCGTTGGTGGCACAGAGGTAGGATGCTCACCGACCACACATGTGGTCCGGAGTTCGATACCCGGTCGACGCACTCCTTTACCTCGCTAAGCAAGTAACAAAACTGGTAAAGAGAGAAGGTTGGGCATGCGGCTAACAACCCCATCCTGTAAGAAATAAACACCACTGCTACCGAAACTTCAAGCCTCTAACTTGAAGCTCTGTGTTCCACTGGAAACGTAAAGGAATAAAAAAATTGTAAGAAAACGGAAATATTGTTAGTTATTTTTAACAAAATTCTAGGGGCATTATGGTGAAACGTGTTTTATGGAACGATATCTTAAAATGAACGAAAGTTAAAATTGCATGTGAATATATCAAGAATGAAATCGATGATTATCAATCAAAACCCACCAACTTTTAATAAGTAGGTGGATTTGAAGATTGTTTTACAAAATGCGAAATTTCAAATTTTATTTGTTTTAGGTTATTCGCCTTCAGATTACAACTTAAGTTAAAAGAGAACGTATAGACCATCTATTATTGTGTATTATCTCGTGTTAGGAACTATTAATAGTTACCAAAACGACTAATCTTATTCATTAAATATCTTTTTGGGTATATTCAAACTTCATGATTGGTGGTTTGTAATAAAACTCATAAATAAAGTTAGATATGCGATGGTCATAGTTGTGAAGATTTATGAATAATGTATGTATCTGTAAATGTTTATTGTGTCTTTACCTGATATTTTGTTTCTACAGAAATATTGTTACATTTAGTCATCCTTACATTTTAAAGCAAATAACCTGTATCCTACACAAATTTTATCAGACAGATAAACAATAAATCAACGTTCAAGTTATTTATGTTGACTTCTAATTAACGTTTTTATCAGAATATACTTTGACTTCTGAGTGTTTAGAATAGTATTTTAGTGAAAACCGATGATTTGGAAATGATGGGGAAAATTTGGTGCTTAGCTAGTTAGTACTGGTGTAGTTTTGTTCTCTGAGATGTTTGCTTTAATTACAAAGCTTCCTTTTTCTCTCTGGACAACATCGTCAACGCTGACTTCAAATGAAGTGAGCTTTTAGGGTTTCCCATGGATTTTTTTAACACATCTCTCTTGGTTATCTTGAACATAACTGGTTATCCACAGAGATGTTCTCACCCGCTTGTAGACTTGTGTTAGTAGTGATTACTTTATTGACCTGATGGTTGACCTTTATTCCATGTGACTTCATTTTTAGTGTTTCATTAATATAATCCATATAAGTGTATCTTCTGAATTCAGATTCGTCTGAGTGCCAGGTATGTAGGTAGTCTCTGGCATTTTCGGTGTTTCATTTGTTGGGGTTTTATACATTTTCCTAGTCGAATTTGTATCTGTAGTTATCTGCATGGTTTAGTATAAGAGACTGGCAGTTATATCTTTTGATAGCAAGTTTATGTTAGTGGATTTGAAGACGAAGATGACGTCCAATTTTATAAATATGTTTTTCACAACTGCCACAGTTTATCTTGTAGATGATGTTGGTTTTATCTTCTATTGTCTTTTGCATCTTTTGGTTGACACGGTGTAGACTGAGGGGACTGTGTTTGATTTGTGCTCGACGTCTACTCCAAAAGGTTTCGGCAGTCTTGAATCCATTCTAAAGATGTTCTTCATAATGGTAGGAAGTTTTTATTTGTACTCTCTTTGGGTACTTTTGAGCTGGCCAGTTAGTTTTAGGGTTAGCATGTTTCGATAGAATTTTGTGGGTATCCATGATTTGAAAAATCTTTGTGCATTATCTTAATATTAAGTGTTTGGTGGGATTTTTGATACAAAACTAAAGAGTGTGTGGAATAAAGGGTAAACTGATAATTCTTCTAAAAACATTAACAAGAAACCAGTCGTATGTGAAAACTTTGTTCTGCCCTCACGTCGCTATCGAAAATAATGGAAAATTGTAATTAAGGGTTAGCTACCTATGTCTGGATAATACAGTATTCAACATTACTTCAATAAAGTGTGAATTCATAGTAAATGAGTTGAACAGGTTCATTTCATAAGCGGTAATCTCTCAATATCACTTTTTTCGCTGTCACCATGCTTAAAATGTAATTCGCTACATCAGATGCATAGAAGTATCTTTATTTATTTATTGCTATACGTCAGCAAACCTTTTTGCTTTCATAATTCTTCGATTTTACATCTATAATATTTTTTTATGAGACATACGCTGCTGCCTGAAGGTATATACATTAATAAATTCAACAGTTAAAAGACACTCACCGTTCCCCATGACAGACTCCATGAAGCTCTATGTAATCTCCATCCATCAAACAATCAGGTATTTCATATGTGAACTCCGTTTCCTATAGGAAATCAAATAAATAAAAAAGACTTTTTCAATAAATCGCATTAAAAAATGAGTATGTCAAGTAGACATCTGACTAGAAGTGATATGATGCGAATTTACAAATTTCACTGGCTGTTTAAAGCAACACAAAGGCGAAAATAAAATAGAAATTAGCTGTAGTTTGCCATGAAATGAAACAGTTATAAGCTGTTTCTTCTCAAGTGGCCAAAACAGTCAGATAACTACTGGACACCGTGCTGCAAAGTTATACTTTGTGACCTTGACAGTTTTTACCGATTACTGTCTAAAACAGGAAAATATGCGTCAATGAACTGTCACTACAAATTTGAATAGTAATGTACACATCATTGAACACGATGATCCTGAGATCGCTCAAATGACATAAACATGAACGAAAGAACTGCTTTAGTTTTTCCTTGTCTTGACTATCCATAAATTGGTTAAAATCCTCAATACATAATCGTATAGGAATTGTCTCACTGTCTTCGTGACACATTAACGTTACATTTTTTATTGGTTCACACTAAGTTTGAGACCACTTGTATTCTCCTAAATAAAAACATAAAGCGTTGGAGTGATATCATAAATGATCAACTATGTAAGAAAAAAAACAGGTGTATCCATTTTAAAAACGACATGTATTTCAAGTGAGATACGTGTTGTTATGGTCTGTACAAGGGTAAAGTGATATTGGTTAATGTAAAAGAGTCAAAATATTCGTATGGTACTCAATTTTGTAGAGTTGAAGTATCTGTCGATCTTCCTACAATACACATAATGGTTTAGTAACGTAAATGGTAAAGGAAAAATCGATGTTTAGCAGCTGATTTATAACATTTGGAAAGATTTTTCTGTTAATGTGACATCACGAAGCTGTTGCTTATTTTGCACCAGAAATTTCTTACAAATTTATCAGAGGAAGAGGGATAGTTTAAGCCAAATATAAATTGCAGTTATTTATCTCCCTGTATCTACCTACGCCTATTGCTGTTGTTTCCAACGATATTTATCACTGAACTCATCCAATTTGATGTCTTCTGCTTGTTTACATTTATGTACACGTATACACTCGAATAAACTGGTCTCCCTACCACACGTCATTAAAATGAATGACATGTTCGCTTATTATTTGGCATTATTATTCACACCGTAGAAAATTTGACGAAGGATATTCATCAGCTTGAAGTGATATTTTTTCTCAAGTTTTCAGTGTTCTGCATATTTGTATTTTAGATTAATTACATTATATTTTTTTATAAATATAATTTTATTGTAATTGTCATCTCTGTGCACTCAACGTGAGACCTTATTAACTTCACCTTTCCCTAACTAATGTACATTTTCTATGAGAGAAGTGCTTTCAACACATATAGTACTGATGTTTTCACAATATTTCAGACGATCGTGACAGAAAGCCATTACCAATATTGTGCATTTAAAAGCTACTTTTGTGCATAACCCTATAAAAGGATAAGCAACCTGAAACTCTGGTATTTTAGTTTGATGCTTAAATTCAGTATTTTAGAGTAATACTGTTGGTACTATACTCACTTTCATTGAATGTGTAATAAGCACATGATTATTTAACAGTCAGATTTACTTGTCTTACTGCCTTTGCAAACATTACATCTTGTGATACTGTATTGTAACCTTGTTAATCTGTAAACTGTCACTTTTGATTAGCAAGGTTAGATAAGATACATTTCAGTGACTAATAATAATTGCAGATTATTCAGAGAATAATTGACTACTTAGCAAGTAATTCATATGCCTTACACAATTTAATTTAATAACATCAAGCAAACTCACATTGAAGAATAAATTAGTATACTCATTGAAATCACGATATTCAAGGTAAGTGTAGGTAAACTCCTCTTCTGGTGAATGATCAATTCTAGCACTTTCTATATGGTTTGCTGCCTCATACAAAGAATTCGACTGATGCCTTTTAAGGTTTAATGTATCCATATTTACAAATCTTTATTGTCTGAATGATGAAATGTACTAATCATTTATAACTGAGTAATATGAGTGAACTGTCTAATACCTAATACATATTTCAAGTCAATTTTGAGCTAATTATCATTGATCTTTGTTCTGTTCATAAAAATTGTTAACCAATTATCTTAAAGTACTTAGATGTAGTGATTACCGGACTAAACTTATATGATAAAAATATGATACATCTGTGAACCACATTTTGAATAGTATGATCAACAATCTCTAGGTAAATGAAGTTAATTAAAAATAAAAACAAATTCTAAAGTTGAATAAAATGACTATGATACTATTTCGAACTTAAAAAAAAACAAAAGGATAAGGAGAATAAGTAACTTCTGAATCCACTCATGGTTATATAATCACATGACAGCCAACAAATAAGTGGGAACTAATGTTGTCTGTATAAACAGGGCTAAAATCAGTACGTGATGAGTCCTTTAAAAAAGTCTCAGAATGTGTACTTGACTGTTTCTATATAAAATGTTGTAGCCTCTTCTAATATTTATCTTGTAGCTACTTCTCCCCTGATTTGTTTGACAATGAATGAAAAGGATTGTAAGGCACCTGAATTTACCTTAGATTCATAATCCAACTGTACTTCAGGCTGCTCAGGAAGAGCAAAATACAGTAAGTGTAAATGTTCCCAATAAATATCTTTTCGAAAAGGATATTTAAATGTAATTAATAAAGCGTAAGGTGATTACAATACCACTGAAGCTTTTTGTTCCACTGACATTCATGAATAGAGCATTCGTTGTCAGTCAGGATTTATACTGTTCTGAAGGTCTACAAAAGCGAAAGGCTTAAATTTCAGTAAGTACTTCATGTGACAGCGCTTACTTCACAGTGTTTTTTGATGTTTTTACGCCTGAGACAAATGCCTCTTCACCCGCCATTTATGATTTTAAAAGACACATAAGCTTTTCCGACTGTGAGCAATAATGTACTCAATAGTTTGTAAAATGTTCAGTATTTATTTTACACTCTTGTATTTCCTACCGGAGAGACAAATAAATTACAGTATTCCTTTGACCAAACTCCATCTAATCTTCAGTTTGCTGAAAATGTGTAATACTATACGCATGAGCCAACTTGAAAGGAGCTATAGGAGGAAAATCTATCAGAAGTTAGAGTGATGTTTGCTGAAAGATTTAGTCATACATTTGACGCTATGAACACTTCACTGACTCTTATTACATACAAGTTACATTTTTTGATTAAATTGCCACCTTCTTTTTGTATGAAATATGATCTATAAGATTTGGTAAACAAACTTATGTCTTCTTGACATATATTTTTAATTTTACCTCGGTCTGACTTCCTTTTTTATCATTCTTCCCCTGTTCAATTGGCTTGTTTGGCTGGCATAGTCTGGTTTTATTTGCTAGGCTTGATGAAGTTCTACTCACTTAATTTTTGATTTTATAATAGTCAATTTTACTTTGTGGCATGTAATATCATTTATTGTAGTGCTACTGATTTGCAGAGTATTTACATGTAGTTATATTGTTTTACTTTGAACAGTCACTGGTACTGCATAGTGTATTATGTGACGTTTGTTAAGAGAAAATGACAAATATTATCAGTAATAAAAAAATGTCTGTTAATTCATCAATTTCACTGATACATTTCGTCCACATTTATGCTTGCTGTGAGAGGCATACAACAAGATAAACAGTTCCTTTATTTGTATTTATAACTATGTTCCGGCGTCTGTGTGTGTGTACTAAGAATCAAAGTGGTTAATTAAGTCTGTTATTATTATGTTCACTGTAAACCTTTGAGATTTTTCAGGAGACATTAGAGCTATTGACTGTTGTTGAATACAAGTTGAATAACATTCACCTAATGGAATCATAATGTTTTTGGTGTCGTGAAGCTATCTCTGTTGCATTGAGGAGACTAAAATTGAAACTAAGTCTAATGCTAAATACCTCGGTCTAGTTCTATCTTCCAACCTTACTTGGACATCTCATATCCTAATGACTTCTAAGAAAGTGTTCTGTCTTACCTACTACATTAAGAAACTTAGACAATCTGAAATCACCCAACCTCTACTCTCACAATTTGTCAACTCTTGTATCTTACCTATTCTACTTTACTGCTCCCCGTTAGTCTTTCCTGGTCTACTGAAAAAGGACTATGCCATCCTGAGAAGGATGTTGAAGGTAGTCAGTAGGACTAGTGATGTAAATCTCAGTCAGCTCGTCACTACATTAGTTGATAGGCATCTGAATACATGCGAAAAATGGTCAAAAACCATACTCTCCGAACCACAACACCCCATCTATTCCCAACTCTCGCCTTGTATCTCATCAAGTAAAACCAGAAATCAGTATAAAATAATCTATGCTCGTACAACCAAGTACAGGAACTCAACGATACCATACTTGGCCCGTGTTCTAAGTGACTGAGACAATGTTAAGCGTGAAACCTATGACTTGCTTTGATGTTAACAACATAATTTTAGGCTCTTTTATTTCTCTTTTATTTTGTATTCTTTAGTGAACTCCTTCTTCAAACATACTTAGCTACCTAAAATATTAACATTGGCTTCCTTTTTTGTACTTTACTATATTCCTTCTATTGTGTATCCACTGGTTCCGACTCTATTAGCACTATGAGTATTACGAAATTGTCCTGTCATTAACCATCATTTAATTATCAGTTTTGTGGCTGTTTTTTTCTTATTTTCCATACTTTTCGGTAATATTAAACTGACAATCATTGGTTGTGAACGCCATAGTCACCACCTTAAAAGTTTTTATATTATTCAGGATTACTCACACTACCACCACAAACACTGCATTAGACTATGGTAGACTTTGGTACTTTTTCGCATTTATAATTATTTTGTGTTTATCCTGTTTTTTTTTTGCTGTTGGTGTCTTCAGATTTATTTTTTTTTGTTTGTTTAATACTTATTTTAAATGTCGGTAAAATTAGATGCAAATATTGTAGATATGTGCTGAAAATTCCACACTGTACAACTAGTACTGTTTCTGGAACAAAGCATATTATTCTTATTATCATCCAGATGGACAAGGAAGGCTTTGCAAGTAAACCGTATAACTCGGAAAACAGAACATCAAAACCACTCATATGAGCTGCAAATCTTTTCAATTATGTCACAGTTATTATAAAAAATTATGAGTATTTGTTTATTTCTTTGAATACTCATCAAAGATGACAAGAAATTCGAGCAATAAAGACTCCGTTACAAGGAGTAGTGGTTTCAATGGACATACATTTGCTTATTAGTCTGTTTTTACTAACGTAACAACTAGTACTAATGAAAGAAATAAAGTAACAGAACTGTCTAAGAAAAAGAAACAAAGGAATTTCATTCCAGAATGTAGTCGATATGAATTTGAATAAGTACAAGCGTCTATATCTTTAAAAATTAATCACAAGACTGATAAAAAGTTATTTTTAGACAAAGTATATGAATGTGAAGCATTATTTAAGCTGATGTTTTCTTTTCTCAACAACATTTTAAAGTATTTAGTCCAGACATATAATTTCAATAGCATAATTATAATCATCGAAAAACACGACATTTGTTTTTGGTTATAGTAAAATTGAATTCCATTTTAATTCAATTTGTTTGCAGCTAGTTGAGTTCGCTTTGCTTTTTTCAAAACAAAACATAGGCACTAAATGTAACTGAATAAACTCTGAAGCGTAGAATTACTTTCGAGTGAAAATAATGAACAGTACTTTTTATGAAACACACAAAACTACTTAAATGATAGATAATAGTAGTCTGTGTACTTATTATCCCCGATTACACATATAAAGCAGTAGAGGTTAAAGTTTGGAGATTTCCATGTTAACTCTAAAAGACTGAGAATAATCTGATGGCGTTCGTCTGAAAATACAGTTAGATTGACAGATTCATGAAGAGGAATAAACAAACACAAGGACTTGTTTAGAGTTGCAAATTGACATCAACAACTGACTGTTATCATAGATAGATTCATTAATGACAGATTGGTGATCAATATGTCTATGATCGTGAATTAAAGAGGTTCACATCTCTTAAACGTCTGTCGGATATTCAGAGACTCAATTCAAGTGACTATTGTCATATTAACCTGATTGATGACAATCAGTTTGTAGAAATATATGTTTATGATTTTAGGAACAATGAAGCAGCAGAGATCTTGAAGAGTGATTTAAATAAAAGATAGTCTGATAGACACCTTAAAACTTTTATCTGGGATATAGGCTTATGGATTTAACCGAGATTTGAAGAAGCAGTCGATTGATTTAGATTTAAATTACAATCAGATACAATAGTTACAACACCATTACAAATGCTAATACTCTTACTAATAGTGAAGAGAGAAAAGAATAAGTGAATAGGAGAATATAAACCTTGTTATTTTTACTTCAGTCGATTAATCGAATATCAGGGTTTATTCCACTGGTAAAGAAATTACTGAAGCATTAAAAAAGCTGCTTACAATACACCACTATTGTTTAAACAAAATTAGACAAGCTGAACACATCAAGTAACTGCGAGAGGTGTCTTTTTACTGATATGTGCTAGCTTAATTGTGCACATTGAAATGCATATTTCTGGAAATCTGCGTTGTCAAAATCAGTGAGAAATAACGAACAAGTAGATGATGTCATCTGTTTAACTTGGAATGAACAGTTACTAAAATCACGCTCAGTAATCTGATCTTTTCTTACCTTTTATTTTATTCCTCTACGTTCCCAGTGGAACATAGGGCTTCAGGCTAGAGCTTGAAAGTTTCGGTAGCAGTAGGATTTATTTTTACGGGATGGGATTGCTAGCTTCATATCCAAACTTTCCTCTTTATCGGTTTGTTACCTGCTTAGAGAGGTAAAGGAGTGCGTTGGCCGGGGGTCGAACCCCGGACCACATGCGTGGTCGGTGAGCATTTTACCACTGTGCCACCCACTCATAGTCAGATCTCTACATAAACAAAATCCATTGTAATTTTGAAAGTCCCCTTCATAATCCCATCTGTGACGTATTTAAGTGGTTACTTCACCCCACATTATGGCTGTTGTCTTATATACCACAGTTTAGATTTCACTTTAGTGAATTACCTAGAATTCCTATTCTCATTTTCGTAAGAGCAATTGTTTCATTTAGCCTTACATAACCAAATAGTTATTTTACGATTCCGGTAGTATTATTACAACTATCTTAAAACCCTAAGAAACACCTATGATGTGATGGTTTAAATGATTTTAAGACATTACCGCCAGGTAATCAAGCAGTCGAACGACTTATGATTTAAAGCGTCAACCAGAAAATCTTCGCCTATCGTGTGTATACTGTTAACATTGGTCTACTAACTAAAACAGTCTCATTTCATCCAGTTAACAACATAACTTGTGTTATTTAAACATTATAGGTTTTCCAACTGACTTTCATCTGTGATAATTAAGCAGTTGAAAACATAGGGAAACGTGGAATTTATAAGCGTATCATTTGAATAAAGCATATCTACTGAGTTAGATAACAAGAATTACTGAGATAATTTATCTACTTATGCCATGTTATGTATGCTAAGGGTGAAAATTACACTTTTGACTGGAAACTAGGACAGAGTGTCAAAGTGTTAGGTAGATTTCAATTGGTTTTTAGAGAGCTAGACAGCTGAAATGGTTAGAATTTTAATAACGTTATACTTTTCTATTAAAATTGAATGATCAAATAAATATTATCGAGGTAAAGAAAACTTAATTTCAGAAACCATGGCTACATGACGATCAATACTTTCCATCGACTAATACACTCTAAGCAGTGGTAGATACTTTCTGTGACCATGAATTGGTATTAAACCTGTTTAAATTTCAAGAATATACTTTTGTTTATTACAACAAATAAATACTAATCTTCTTATGACACATTTAATATTACTTATTATAGCGTAAGGATGCATAAAGTGCTGACAGATTCTCACTTATATTCTCAAATTTCTTAAATTAACTAGTATTCGCCTACACCGCTTGAGCTGTTTGATTTATTTGGATTTGTGCAATTTAGGAATTCTTCATGAACAAATACCAGTTACTGAACTAATGAATATCAAACAGCATATGACTTAAGTTTTACCCAGAGTTTTTGATTATTTAAATAGTGGGTAAACGAGTGTGAGGGCAAGTATGTTATTATCCAGCCAGCTGCCCAGATCTCCGTCATCCAAAATTCTACAAATTTCAAATATAATACAACTAGTTCATTTAGGCAGTAAATATGCTGAAACTCTAAATGTTGTAGCCCGCTGCGAGGCACATTTGATTAGAGCTTTTTCTCTACTACTTCTGCATCATTCAGACTAATCCCAGTGACACACTTATCTTGCTTTGAATTACGAATAATTATTTCTAACTTTATAAGAAATGTGAGAATCGTCATAAAAAGGAAGTTATAATTGTAACCTAATAAGTATCCAATGTGACTTTGTTTGGATTCGTGTCTGTTGATCAATAATATATCAGACATTGGCCAAGTTACTCAATACATTGAAATGGTATTCAAAATATCTCTGTATATCCAAATAAATTAGGTAAAGCGATACGCGTTCTCAGCAAACATTGTAAATTAGAACTGGTATTCAGTGGGGTAATCAAAAAAGAACAATATATGCAAAAAAAGCGTCATCATGTGAACTTAGTTCTAGACCACTTGAAGTATGCTCTGTATGTATGCCTGTTAAAAAAAATCCATTTAGTAACTATCTTTTCTTTCTTGATATTCAGGTATTGATGTTTAAAAAAAGAACATTCATCAAAGTAATTCATCATTTTTAAACTTTAAACTCATATATACAAACAAAACAGTCAGTATGTATTAATACATTAAAATAAAAAAATAGATGAAAATACAAAGTTCATAGATTAAAACTTACTTGTTCATCGAAGTATGAGTTCATTTTTGTTTCGATCGTAGTTCGATAATATAACGAAAATGTTGTAAAAAGCTTCTTATTTCAATGCTTTCTTCTTTGAAATTGAATTATCACTTTGTGTGTAAAATAAAGTGATAAAATAGATATTATTCCAGTTTTAGCGATATGTGTTCACTTGTGAATAGAGTTAATATAATCAACGAAATAAGAAGGACAAAGAGGGAGAGATAGATAGTTAGATAGATAGATAGAGAGAGAGCTCAGAAATATTACACACGAAAAGTATCTTTATGTAATGACTAAATAACTATAAAAATTAGTTTGGTGTAGAAAAAGAAATATTCGTTTCTGCCAACAAATCTACCACTACACCTAACAATTTTAATACTTTTGTTATTTGAGTTACTTTAAAAATTCTTAAGATAATTCAGACTCACATATGAACACTCAGAATAGGGGTACGCACATACATATATGCAGACATCCATATATACATACAAACCTAGGTATATAGATATAGATGGGTTTCGAAACTAACACACACAATGAAAAATAACAATACAAACTTATAATTGTGCACATATGTAGACAAAAAGAACCAATTCAACCTTGTCAAGGTCAATAGTCGTTGTACTACCTAACTAAAACACAAACTGTTTGGTGTGGTAAAATCATTGTGAGGATTGCCTTCTGTCTATTGATAGGCACGTGAGTATGTGTCTTCATATATATATAAATAAATGGTGTGCTCATAAAATTTGTGCCAAGAAAATCACTATCTTTAACGTTTACCTAAACACAACGTTAAACTGTGTGTTCACCTCGGTATCTGTGTGTTTGCATGTAGGTGCCTGTATCTATGTGCAAGCACGCGTAAATTAGTAGGCGTGCACTTATAATTAAAAGACTTACTTTGTGAGCATATATTTGTACAGAGAAGCAAATGCCTCATTTGCTTCATTGTCAGTACTATACATACAATGACCTTGTCTTTAGAATATCAGGTCTGATATTTTTCCGCTTTGACAGTACATATTTAACTGATGACAAATTCCATAATAGTTGACTACAATTATACAGGTAACTACTGAATGAAGCTATTTTAAGGTATCTAAAATTATAGTATAATCTCTCCTAAATAAGAAGAAAAGGAGTAAAATAAATATCAATGATCTCAATATCTCACTGATGTAGGTTATCATTAGAAAAAGCTCTGTTCTTAGTATCCGTTAGATAAGGTTTTAAAATCACACTGTTGCCTATGTAATTATTTTGGTATTCATTCCATGTCCGCCTAGTATTTTGTCTACTGAATATCTGTTATTTCCCTATTCTATATACATACACTAAACCTCATATGTGAATAGGAAGCTAATTATGATACCTAACCCATACCGTATACAATAATTGTGGAGAAATTGAAAGGTTGTACACTGAATGAAGTAACGAGTGTGCATTGTTATCATGACAATGAATTATATTCTTCAAATTATTTGTGTATTCAGCTAAGTTGTTCAAAGAACACCTGCCCTCATTGTTGTTAATTTCATCGTACATTTATTTCATTCATTCGGTTTCAGCTGTATAAGTTGCTAGGACTGAACCGTTTAGGTGATCTGTTTCACTCTAATACTTTTATGTATTAATCCCAGTTATTATGATTATTCATTCCTTGTATTCCGATTGGGACTTAGGGCTTCTGTGGGACATGTAAATTCCACTCAAATGTTTTTCTTTCCCTTTCAGCTGGCTCCATAACTGCTATAACCTCTTCAAATGATCTCCTTCACGTTACCCTCGAACCCACACCAAAACCGTTTTTTCTCATTCTCGTCCTACCAGATGGCCAGCCTAGGATGTGATGTCATTCAGTGGTCTCTTCGGCATATGTTCAGTCTATCACCACGTTCTTTTTTTATATTTGTAGGGTAATAGCTTCTCGCTTTACACCGAAAGTCCCTTGATGCCTGTTCTTTCAGTCCAGCAATCTGAATTTCACCATACAGCTGGACAAGGTAGTTGTTGATTAAAGTCTTCAGCAGTTGTAAATGCTTTCTGTCAGGCTCAGGCCAAGTCTGTGAGCCACATAGAAACATTGAGTTGAAACTAATGTTGGGAATTAGGTTGTTGTTCTCCGTGCTAACTGCTATAGGTCTTCGCACTGGTTTTTGAGTAGTAAATGCATGTCTTGCTTTACCGGTCCTGACATCATCTCTGCCATCTACGTGTAGTTGGAATGCTGCTGCTGAAGCCAGTGTAGGAGACAAGTTCCTTTAGATGTCTCCCACCGATGGTAATTGTTCCTTTTTGTTGTTGTCTGTTGGGTATATTCATCACAACCGTCTTCTTTATGCTCACCATAAGTCCTATCTTGTTGAGTCTCATTCCTTCAATATGGTTTGAACGTACTTTACTCAATGGCAGTGTAAAAGGCAGAACTTGTAAATAAGCTACATCCTAAAATTTTTTTGATTTTTTTTTTGATTTTTGATTTACAGCTTGATTCCACACCGTATTTTCAGTACAAGTGTGGAATTTTCAGCATGGATATCGGTAGCCCAAATTCAGGCCGACCATAGATATCGGGTGTGCGCCGGCAGGGGATCGAACCCCGGACCATGTGCATGGTCGACGAGAGTCCTAACCACTGTGGCCCTTAGTCATGTATATTTCCCTCGAAAATTGTATTGCACAATGAAGGAAGATTTTTTTCCAAAAACTAAACACAGAATATTTGAAACAAAAAATATTTGTTGAGCAGCATGCCTAACAGTGTGAATGTGTGTGGTGAGAAAAATACATAATAGTGTCTATGCTGATGTTTCATCACTCAGGTAAAACACGATGGCCGATACTTGATTGACTACCTTTTCTTCAGTTTAGCTGTAGAAACAGAAAATCAGCTGAGAAAATGCACAAATTAGAATAATACGGTCCTCAAAAATTCTAATAATTTAAGTATATAAGTAAGTAATCAGCATGTGTGCGAATACAAACGTATATTTCGTGGTATCCTAAATGGTGGTTACAGAGAACAAAGTGTGAAGTTCATACATGTGTGAAAAAGGTTACACAATAATTTGAAATCTCTTGTGTGGTCAATTAAGCAATTACAATGTCAGTTGAAACTTAAGTTATTTAGAAATTCAAATTTATAATGGTAACTCGTAATTGAAAGGACCCTGAAGAAGGAAGACTTAAAGGAAATTTAAAAATTAATGAGCATTTTAGACAGTCATCATGAGTTGCCTTGAATGATCTAATAAATCTGTGGGTTGAACTGACTGTAGTGTAATCAAACTAATCTATCTGTTGACAAAAGTAAAGACTTTACATACCTTATAGCGATGTTATCAATCAAATGTTTACTATAAACTCACTCCACTCAAGGAAATGTAGGTGTTGACTGATAGGTAAAACTGGAGTTGTTAAAACTCGACATATTACTCATTTAATCATCTGACCATTCTAGTGTGCGTCGGTGGCACAGCAGTTAGGACTCTCGCCGACCATGCACATGGTCCGGGATTCGATCCCCAGCCGATGCACACCTGACATCAACTGGTCAGCCTGCAAAATTTGGACTACCGATATCACATGCTGAAAATTTCATATTTGTACCTATAATACAGTGTGCGATCAAACTATATTCGGAAATAGGATAAACGTACTTGCGCGTCCTAGAAATAACATTTTCATTTCGCCTTTTTGTCCTCTCTATCGTGTCTTCTTCAAAAACAAGATTCAAAATGGAATATAGTGCGGAGGCATATGAGTTGCTGGAAACCACTCAAACTAATCAATATGGCTTCGTGGTCAGATGAAAGTGATTTAAACACAAGACAATCGTCTCAAGCAGTTTGAAATCATTCAGCTCTCTGAATGAACTCAGTCTCAAATAAATGAAACAGGCCTAGTGGGCATTACTGATCTCTTTGAATGTTTTCGAACTACTCCTATCAGTCAGTAGTGTGCACCGTCATACAGTGATGTTCACATTATTTCTTGAACATTTAGAATTATCCATTTCCAATGTATTCTTATCACTTTGTGTTATTTATTCAGTGTTTTTGAAAACGTTTCTGGAAATGGAAGTTACCAGCAACAGTAGAGAATACTAGCATGTGAGAATGAGAATAAGTGGTGTTTGAATGGAATATTCAACAGTAGTTTACGATGAAGAACGTAGTTTAATGACAGAACAGTTGATGAAATATGATGCAATAATCAGTCATAAAAATCGCGAAAAGGAAATAGCTATTTATCATTAGTCTACAAGAAGATTCAGGAAGTTTGGGTAGTCGGCTTGTCAGCGGAAACACTAACTGATTAGCAGCATAATAGAAAAATGATTACGTGATGAAACACAAGAAAGCATTTAGAAGTGGCTTTCAATCAGTCAATTGACTTGATATCAGTAGGTAAAAAGTAGCCATAATAGTAATAACAATGGAGACAGTAAAAACACGGAAACCATGATACATAATTATGTAATAAATGTGAAAAATTGTTACAAGGTTAGACTGAGGCGAATCAGTGTTCCTTTGTATCTCCTTTTCCGCTTATTTATAACTGATTATGCGATCACATGTCACTCACTGTAGTTCGCTTGAACTATGACCTTCATCCCAGACTTCTGTTGAATAGAACAACAAATGTACGTTCTCATTTCGTCAATACTCTGAATGCTCTAGGCTTTGTGCATTTGAAGAGAAGCCTCAGAAAGGTGTGCTCATTTCATACTTCAATATTTTTTGGCAAAGATGAGTCATTTTCTTGGCTTGTTGTATGAATACACAAAGAAAATGGTAAACTATGTATACAGAGGTGGTTTTTCAAATCCCTTTTACTACTGTGGCCTTAAAGTTTCCTCTATTTTTGTTTAACTCGCACACTAACTTGATTTTTAATCCCATATTCATTCGATTTTTCTTTCTTCTTTCCTTTCAAACTCATAGCTTTAAAATATATTCCATAATTATCCTCGACCTCTTACTGTTTTGAACTATGCTCCTGTTTCCAAGCGCTTGAAGATTTTAATGATAATCACTTCCTATCTATGCTTAACAATTATTGTTTTAAGAATACATAATTTACTGTTTTTTTTAATTGAATTTTAGATTAGATTGATTGAATTAGATTAGATGATGATGACTGATTAGATTAGATGATTAGATTGAATTTTAGATACTGTCGTTGGCGGCCTGTTTGACACCTGGGCTACCTTTCCGTACATTTACATATTTGCATCTTATTATTATTATTTTCCCGTCGATTGATAGGACCGAAGTGCTCGGTCTCACGTTGACGTGTCGGCTTCTTCTGCAGACGCTTCGACGATGTCTGGGCATTTAATTGGAATTTAATTGGTGGATGGTGACTAGCAGTGGAATCCAGGATGC